GATTTTGAAAGAATTGTGAAATTTGACCATGAATTCCATGATTTTTGAAATTGATTGATTCAGGAAGAATTCGAAGAATAACAATGAATAATACAACTTAGAAATTATATTGGCCACAAAGTTTTCAGCAAAAATATACAGAGTGAGCAGTTCTTGCACTGGTAGATGAGCCAAAAGCAGAACAATATTGACAAGTGACTACTTAAAGTTTCACAAAGAGTCAAGTCGTCCAATTAAATCTTGCTATAGTTTCCAGCAACTGCCTGATGTCCGAGATTAGCTTTCATCCATAATACTAAGTTCAGGTTGGGTAGCTTATCCTGATTGCAGTGGTTTCTTGATAACAATGTTGGTTGCTTGCTTAGGATATTAGTTACTCGAGCAACAGGCTGACTTAGAGTGGTAATTGAGCAGAACCACTGGGTGAAGTTGCTTGTGGCGCAATTTGTCTGTACATGAGAGTGATGAGATCCTTCAGGAAGCCATAGCGAATGAAGAGAACTCAAAACGAGTGCAAAATCAAGAGGACGAGCTCAAGAAAACGTCACGTGATCGCTAGTTGCGGATCCGCATGTGGTTTAGCGCTTTGCGCCACGCAACAGGGTTAGCGCTAGCGCAACGGAAAATGCCGTTTGCAAGCGGTACGCAAACTCTCTATTATTGTCTGTAAGTACTATATATTCATGGGCAGCAATCCCGGTAATTGAGATATCTATTTTAGTGACAGAAGGCGAAATACAAAGCAAAGATCATGGGTCAGTGCTCACTGCCAAGGTATGATTCAAACTCAATGCTTGACGGTGTGTTCTGACAGGCTCATGGACAGTACTCAAGTACTTGCAGAATAGATGGCTATAAGGAAAACAGCTGAAGCATTGCCATTATTATTCTGCTGCGAAACTCGTTGACGGTGAAAGATCTCCGTATGTCCTCAGCTCTGATTTTCAGTATCTGACATATCGCAGTTGAGTCTTTTCAATCTTGAAAGTGCGTTCAAGTCTCGCTTTCCGTGATAACATGATCAAAAATGAACATTTTGGTGGGCTCTCTGACTAAATGCATGTCTTTGAAGATCTTCAGGAGTCGGTCTAAGTAGTCCGTAGGTGATGAAGAAAGATATGTATGAAGTTCTAGGTATCCTTCCAAGTTTGGTGAATAATGTGGATCGCTGATAAGTGGCACAGGTGATAGGATTCTGCCCGAGGATCATCGGAGATGTGCAAACAACTTCAATGTAGCGGTGGTCACTGGTCGACCTGTTGGCAATCACTGTCGTGATTGGCAGCCTGACATTCAATTCAACTTACTCGCGACACTACCTCATTTTGCTGGTCAATGCAACGCATCTCGGACGAGTTCAATCCTTCAACGGCTATTTCTATACCGAAGTAAATCCAATTCCGACAATTCACAGCATAAGCATATTCTTTCATCTGGAACCTTGACCATGTATGGCCGATATCAAACTCATTGCACTTGTTGTTTTTGCACAATTTAGATCTAACGTCTCATTACGGGGTGGGAGAACAATGCGTTCAGCAATTGCTCCACAACTTAAACTGCAAAGTTAGCCATTGTGCCTCTACAGGTTTCCTTGAAGAATAAATGTAATACACCGTTCTACTCCCTCAGGCTAGAGGTCAGATCTCGTCCCGACATCGACAACCCCAGATATCAGCAATGTGACCTTTACCTGTACGTACTTCATCTATGGCGAGGGCAATGCGGACTTTTGGCAATAAGATTCATTCATTGAATCTCAATGTCTCAACAAACACTCGTGGTGTTCTCGGTCAGTCATGCCAAATTCAAATACTACCGAAAGCCTCACAAACTCCTGCTGGTAAAGTTATACTATGCGGACATTGTACACCGTCAACAAATGGTAGCTATGAACATGAACTCGTTTGCAGCATTTGACGGAGGTCGCATACCGTAGAAGATACCAAGCCTTTTGAAAATTGTCCTCAAACATGCGCTCAGAAACAATGCCTAAAAACGACAGAAACGGATCTTTGCGGCTTGGTATCTACTACTTCCAACTGCCTTAACGAGTCGTTTGAGGAAAGATGAAAATCCTATATAAACAGTCTGCTTTCCAACGATGAGCTTCAGAATATCGAATCCTCCAAGGATTTCATTGTCTTGCTACTCAGCCTCCAATCAACCTCTCACAACCTTCTGCATCCTCGCTCTTCAACGATGTTTGCTAAATTTGCAAAGCTTTCTGCCATCGTTATGGCTCTTCCCGTCTTCATCATGGCTGCTCCTTCCAAGCGCGATGGTGTTTGTGGTGAAGGTGTCGGTGACTTTGAAAAGTCTTTCACTCTCGCCACCTTCTTCAAGGATCAGCCTAACAGCCCGGTTGGCACTCCCCTCGTTCTTTCTCCTCATGGACACATTCCCGACACCGTCCAACCCGGAGGAATCGATTTCTTCGTTCTCACTGTAAGTCTCAAAAGGCATTATCCATTAAAATCGGTGCAGTTGTACTGAAGCAATTATCCTTTTTTTTAAAGTCCTATGCTACCTATGCCCACTTCGACTTCAATGTATACATCATGCACGATGGATGGGTCGACGCTTACGGCTCCGATGGAAGGATCGCTCTTTCTACCAACATTACACCCGGAATTGAAGCTCAATTCTACACCACACCTGGACCTCAAACCATTGCTCCAAACGTTTACTGTGGTTTGGTAAGTCTTCCTATTACTGTGTTAATAAATCAAAGAATTTTTGTATTGATCAAGAAAAATAAATTCAGCCCGGAACCAGCAAGTACGGTGCTGATAATGCTAATCACGCTCGTTTCGCTGTTGGCACTGATGCAGACAATTTCGCTCTTTGCCCTGACGGCAACGTCACGACTGTGTTTTACCAACCTGCAGCTGCAGTTTCTCAAGCTGGTTGTGTTCCTGTTGATATCCTTTTGATTCCTACCAGTGATTGAGAGTCGAAGTAGTACTCGACCATCATTGCGTCTACATAACGTTCATTCCTTTTTTTTTTTGGTCTTGTTGTGTTTTCCGAGTCGATTTTTTGCCTGTGATGCAACGTCACGGTTACCTTTGTCGGAGTTACACTTTTTCAATTTATTTATGTAAGAGCATCGTGGTCGCTTTTGCTCAAGTTCAAGTTGTTGTTACCATTTTGTCGTGTTTTTATCTCTGTTGTAGCTTCCCGTCTCAGTTCTAGGATAGGACTATAATCAATTTCAGATGATAATTGACGATGTGATTTATCTAAGACTAATCGAGCGTGCTACTGACGAATCGATTCGAAATCAGCATTGAGTAGAGACAGTGAGTTTTTACAATGCAGGGATGAAAAGACGGTAGACGTAGAGACAAACTAACACTATAAAATATGTGTGTCTAGTTCAGCCACAATAACAAGAAGAGTACGTGAAGAAATACTACAGCAGAAGTGAAGGGTATATATAAATACTTGAAGGACAAGTCGACAGAAACCGGTAAGACCAGTGAAAATGTCAAAGATTGTCTAAAATGTTTTTTCAGATGTAAAGAGGATATTCATGGACATCAGCTGGTAACTTCATTTTCACAGGAGCGCAAGGGCAGCCGCAACAAACGGAATCACACTGAAAGCAGAGATAGCAATAGTGCTATGTTGAACAGCACCACTTGAGCTTCCGCCAGAAGGTGAAGTAGATGAAGGTCGAGGCGAGTTGACGGTTCCGGTAGGAGATGGGATACTAGAAGTCAAACTACCAGTGCCGTTCAATCGAATGGCGTTACGCTAAAAATAGAAAACACGATTGTGCCCTAAGAATAGCGTATCTTTATCATTGAATGATAATTTGAAAACTTACAACAAACCCATCCAAAGTTGCAGTGGAATTGTCGTCTATGTTGATACCGCCAACACCACCCTCAGCACAAGTGTTAAAGTCGTAGAACCATGTTGTAGTGTTGACCATCGCTGCAGTGACTAGGACGCGTAGTTGGGTTATAGCAGTTCCATTGACCGTGTTACGTAGACCAGAGTCGAAGCCGTTGATAGTTACATTTGCATCATGTGCTGGTACGCATGGCGAAGCAAACAGAGACTCGGTTACTGAGTGGTTGCCCATGGTGACTATACAACGAGTGAGCGAGTATGTGATAGGTAAGAACAAGAGGGTCGGCTTACAGTTGAAAATGATAACATCTCCGTTGGCAGCAAAAATCTCAGCTGGTTGGAACACCATCGTGGCGTTCGTCGTCGTGTTTCCACCCACTGTGACAACGACATCCTTCGCGACGGCCACGGATGCAACTGTGAACTTGATGTGTCCATTTTAGTTAGCATGCTAACTGTATCAATATTAACATACTGAATACTTACAGCAGCAATGAGAGCAGAGAAAGAACGCATTTTTTTGAGTTTTTCTGGGTACTAGCACTGAGCCTGGAGGTTGGGCGGAAGAGAGAGGTGGAGGGGGAAAGGAGGTGGAGGATTGGAAGTTGTAAAATTGGGGAAGAGAACGACGCGAAGAGGGGCTCAAACGGTTCACACATGCGTCAAACAGAGGTTCTTTATCTTCGTGCGTGTGCTTCATGTCCAATGAGGATTTTGGAGAGCTGAATAGATAACAGCGGACGTAGTTCGCATCCTTTCGGGTTGTACGCGGCCAGGTCCGTGACGTCAGGCATGAGGGAGTTATGTTTTTATCACAGACATATGTTTGGAAGGGTCTGAAGGTGATAGAATGGGAATCGAAAAACATAAATATCATTTTCATACATAGAAAACGGTGACATACCACAATTGTTGGCTGAGAGGACGTTGAAGTTAGGTTGTTTCGGTTATGGCCGATCAGAGAAGGAGGTCATTGAAGTTCTTAATATGAGAAGCTGTGGGAACGGAACTCGTGGTCTCGTTGATTCCAGCTGTCGATGCAGTGATGCACGCTGTATGTACATGTCTGTAACTGGGACTCGGACACAGCGAATGAGAAACAAAGTTACTGTAAAAGAGACAACGGCAAAAGCATATGCTCCCAGTGAGGGTCGAACTCACGACCTCAGGATTGCTCGCTGAACAGCGATCATAGGTGGACTATGAGACCTGCGCTCTAACCAACTGAGCCATGGAAGCGTTACCAACAGATAGAGCACACTATACATCTCGGTCGTTCTGAGCCTTCTCAAATCATACATGATACATTTGACACTGACACGATAAATAACATAGAGCAGTACGTCTGGTCACTCCTACAAAGAACTACAAAGAACATTGAAGATGAGCAATACAATAAACCAGAGAAAAGGGCAAATATGACTTACCGTTGAACTCTTCTACATCACATCCCTTGGTACCAACATTTGATGTCTCACAATCTCGTAACAGACCACGCCAACATAAGGTGTGAAACACCAGGAGAACTCTCTCCAGGTTCAGGTCTCTTCGTTTCTATCAACCTAGTCCAAACCTTCACCTCACCTTCCTTGAAAATATCCTTCTCCCACAGCTCTGTCCAACTTTCTGGCGAATGACAAAACATAGGTATCTCCCTCTTCCTTCCGAATCTATCTTCAGTTCTGAAACCTTTCTCTGTTCTTCCACCATGAGCGCCGAATATGAAAGATCCTGGTTCAGGGGAAAGTAGAAGAGCGAGACGAGATGCGAGAGTGTGTTGTTGTTCCTCGTTGAAAAGGTGGAAGAATGCTGAAGCATGGATTATGGAGAGACGTCCATGAAGTGGGGTAAGTGTCTTCAATGAATGTAAAGGCGGGAGAGGAGTATCTGGAGGAGCAGATGGTGTTGGGGAAAGAAAGGCAGGATCGAAGACATCCCCTTGTATGAAAGGGACCGGAAAAGACTCCGGAGTATCCTTGAACAGTTTATAACCCAAATCCCAAAATTCTATAAGAGATCAATCTGTGAATCAAGGCAAACACTAAGATAGAATGAATGCTTAGCAGCGTACGTTGTCGTAAGTCGGAACCTATAGCCTGGTTTACAGGAAAACCATCAGCGACGGCTTTTCTAATATCATTGCCAACTACATTGCGCAAACACAAATCAATTTCAATGTTTCCCAATTGCCATAAATTCTGCGTAAACTCACAGCAACATCCAATATCGAGGAAGAGTGCACCTGGACGTTCTTTGCCTAACCTCAGCAGCTCTTGATAGGCAGGAAAACGAGATATCTTCAGGCTATGACGATGTCAAGTAACGGTATCGTGAAAACAAACTAAAGTAGCACTCACACTGTGAATCCGAATCGACGAATACATGTATAAGGGAACACCTAAGCATAACGAGAGAGGGGTCAGGATTTTGCCGATGCATTTCAAGAAGTAGAACGATGTACATACAGCATAAGCTTCCTTCTGCACATCGATAATATGCCTCTTCAATTCATCGTCATCCTGTATACCAGTCTGTTGTTTGAAAAACTCGATCTCTTGAGGTTGAAGATTGTAGAGCTCTTCTTTCAAAGGAGGCGAGACAGCTTGTTCCATTACGAGTTCTGCCATGATACTAGATTTTTACGTAGGGATAAGAAGGACTAAAAAGAATGGTTGCTTCAGAAAGACGATGGTCCTTTTTATATGTTCTAGAGGTTCTTTCAGAGATATATTTAGCTGTTGCAAGAAAAGACAACATACCAATTTTACATGCCGAAGTGCCAATTATTCACTGATTGCGAACTTTGACATCATGGGGTTACATCGGGACCAATCGACTGCAGGGTGTGTTATCACACAAGCATATAATTGAATGATTGCGGGTATGTATTGTATTGGCAAGAAATTGGGGAAGAAAGCAGAAGTGAATGTTGAGTGCGAGGCAAAGGTTGCGACAAAATGTCTACCGTTCGGTCCGTCCGGAACCATGACCTTTTCGGATTGAGTAATCAGGGAACATCAAATTCGTCAAATTCATCTCAAAGGGATGAGGCTTTCAACAACAATCGTTTGCAGTGAGATATCGGACTCGATTAGCATTAAAATGCTGCTACATAATAGATATAATACATGAATAAGGTAGTATGATGGTCTATGCAATAAATAATATCATTAAAGCCACAAAGGCCAAAAGACCACGGAAATGATGTTTTGAATTCCATGAAACCTGGCTTAAATAAAATCATCGAGATTCTCGAGGTTTTATTCATGCTCATCGAGGCTAGATTCCGCACCAATATCAGCGATTAAGTCGTGCAGTCCAATCTCCCTTTCAATCTATATTTCCAAAGCCACAGGTCAGTGATCCACGCAAAAAAGTGTTACTCGCGATGGCATATGGCATACCTGATCTTTCAGTTCACTATCTTCCGCACCTACAGATGAACTGAAAACAGCATCAATTTCTTCCAATGGAACGTTTCCTGTTTCAGGGACTCGATAAGTAGACCAAAAGTATCCTAAGAAACAGGCGGTAGAGAATGTGATGAATGTCACTCTGGAGAATTCATGTCAATATATTCATGCCAGACAATAGTAAAAAATGAGAGACGTACGAGGCAGACTGTTCCATCATCAGTGGAGTAACGAGTCCAATTAAAACTGGTTGAATATTATGCATATATCAGTGTGCGCAACTCAAAGGCAGAGAAATATATGAAAACTACACGATGCTCACAGTTATTAAACCAATTTGAAGCAGTAGACAACGATACACCTTTACTTCGTACCGAGATTGGAAAGACTTCGCTTGGTAAGATCCATCCTATTGGTCCGTAACTCGTTCCATATGCTGCTGTGAAAAGATAGACACATCTACAAACAGTTTAGTCGCTAATCTTGCAGACATACTGACTATCAGCGAGAACTTAGATGTACTCACCCAACTGCGCTCCAAGCGGCGCCGACATGAGCCGACCAATCATCTTCGTACAACCTGACCTATTATCCTTTTAGGAAATGAATGTTTACGACAGAAGAACCGGTACTCACAAGGACTGCGATAGCTAGATGTGCAAAGCACATGACTGCGCTTCCCCCTTCACACAAAGTTCAGTGATACGTTCCACAGGCTGTAACTTACCAGAAAATTTGCTCACATCTTAACAAAGGTTTCCTTCCTTTGTAATAAAAACATTGATCAGAAAGAACATAAAGTTAAGATACACGAAGGCATAATTCTTACCTAACCTATCGATGTACAAGATCGCAGGAAGAACGGCGAAGAACTGTACGATGCCAATACCACCAGAGACCATCAAAGTGACTTTGTCGCCTTGCAATCCAATGCTTTGCACTAATGTTGGTCCGTAGTACAGCAAAGCATTAATTCCGCTCCATTCTATGTAAAGGGCTTGAGGAGTGATGTGGAAAAGCAGAGAAGCAGACGTACGTTGAAAGAACATCATAAGAACACCTATGAAAGTTCGATCTCTATATTTCTTACTGAATAGGCGTCCCCAAGTACGAATCTCAGCACGGATGCCGGATTCTTTAACGGTAGTCCCGAAGGCTCTCTCCATTAACAGTACTTCACTGCGCATTTCCAGCAGTTCAATCTTAAGAAATGGATCAGGTGGAATTTTAGCTAATGAAAAGGTTCATGCATACTTGGACCAGTGGATCTGATTCGGCCTCTGAAGGATTACGACGACGAAGTCTTGCTAGAGAATTCCTGGCTTCATCGTATCTTCCCTGCGCAACCAATAGACGAGGTGAAGGAGGGAGGAATATGGATCCAAATGCGAGAAAAATTCCTGGTATTATTTGGATACCAAGAGGCGTTCTCCATGATGCAGATCCGTGTACTTCAGAAGATAGAATGTAGAGTACATAAGTCAGAGACAATATGAGAGCAGATCAGGCAGGTTTTAATTTTTTTGTAAGTTACAAACTTACAGCTGCGAGTGAAGAATCCAGTCCAAAATCCCAGCACTGCGCCGAGAACAATTGCGAATTGTTCCAGCGCCATGAGAGAACCGCGAACTTCTGGAGGACTAATTTCAGCCATATATAATGGCGACAGCATACTAAACTCGGGGTCATATGATGAGACTTGCGAAAGAGAAATTTGTGAGAATGTCAGGTTGCTTGCCTCAGTGCGCCGACGCCCAATCCTCCTACTGCTCGACCAAGAATAAGGTGCCATAGCTTCTGAGCCCCGAACTGCATGGATGAGCCTAAACAAAATACGACTGGGAAGCAAGCGTTCTGTCAGCATGGTCATATACATAGCTAAGGATTAACTTGACTTACAGCAAGCGATGATTATTGATTGTCGCCTTGATATACGATCAGCAAATGTTCCAGCGGTCAATGCACCAAGGAGTGCACCGAGCTCTAACATGGCAGCTACAGTTAGAATAAAAAATTAGTCAAATATCATATAAGGTCAAAATATATCCTCAACTCATCAGTCCTTTCTGTAAAGGGGTGATTGGCCAACGTTGTAAGAAGTCCGGCATCACCAAGACGTTTGCGACCACACCTTGGTCGTAACCAAATGTTAAACCACCTAATGACGCAAACACAGCGCAGGCTAGTGCAAATGAATTATGAAACAGTCCTGGGATTCCTTTAGGCCCATATGAATAAGTATAACTGTGTCCATCTTTGTGTATAATCAATGTTCCGTCATGTGGGGTGACATGGTAGGTATCAGCTCTAAGGGGGGTATTGGCACTAAGTGGAGATTCCGAGGACGATTCCTCGTTATACTGTGTTGATATTGGGATGTATCCTCGACCTGGTTTTCGTGGTTGTGAACTCTGGAAGAGAACTCGTCAGTCGGAACTGTGTTATAGATGATGATGCACTCGAGTACCATGCGTCGAGGTGTATATCAAGCGGGATATTATCGATTAAAGTAATTATAATGTGCTTTAATTCTATGGATGCGGAAGAAATGAAACAGGGTCAGTTAGAAAACTGAATTCAAAGAATTGAAGTTGGTGGTCAAAAAGCAAGGTAAACACAGCCAAAATCAATGTGCAACGCGACATTCATGTGATCGGCGTCTATTTTGCCTCCACGATCTCGATTCAGATTTGGGCTGCTAACATACACCTTCACTCACGACTTTCACGATCTGGAAAACATTCCTACCAGGAAACATCCTCACACCCATCCTTGGGAGCCGGTATCAGTCCAGGATGGATAGAAGATGGTGTTTATTCATTCTAT